TCAAGCTTGCTACGTGCTACTACAGCTGGTATTGGTACTATGATTGTGTCCGCTTTACTGCAGTGAAAGTGGGACACGGGAAAATAATGATTCCGAGCACGAACTGAATATAAAAGTCGACGATGACAAAATTCCGACAAGAATAAACCTCCCCATGTTTCTGGATGCCACATTTGATAGACAACATTCTTCTACATTCAACGCATGACAGCGACAGCTACAATACCATCAACTAGGCGCATCTACTTGGAAGTACTTGAAATAAAAGACACTTTTCAAGACCATAAAACAGCTCATCGAGAGAAGACGAACAGCCGACAGGGCCCAAATGACACTCTCAAGGAGTTTACCAAACTCCGTTAAAAAATCTCTTCCCCAGATCTCGCACGACACTAGCTAGCCACCCTCTCAGTGTGGTCCGAGGATATCGAATCAGTTCGTTTGCTGAGCCTCCTCACCCCGCAGACTAGACTAACTTTGCTTACTCCCAGACGAGTTCGTAACCAGACTGTACACTGACCATAAAGAGGATAACCGTAGAGTTTTGACTTTTCATTATCGCCTTTGAAGTCCTCTCTGGCGTATTGAAGGATTAGAATTCCCATTCTCATTACCGTTAAAATGCTATCATTCAAAAGAAGAAAAAAAAAACTCAACCTAACCAAGAAACGCCTAAAACAATTTGAGTATTAACTGAGTGAAAACCCAACAGCGAGTGAGAAAAGAGAAACAGTAATGACAGAGAAAAAAAAAATACATATTTGACTGTTTTCGCTTTCATTGCGGCAATGCTGGTGTACGAGAAAAAAATTACAAAATGCATACATACAAACACGTTTGCTTCATATGTATGAATATACAAAATTACACTTAGCACGAACTCAAAAGCGAGTGAGCGTGTAAAAATGTGCAAGATTATTGGATTTGCGTACATTGCGAACGAGCTAAAGCAAAATTGGCAAGATTTTTTTTTTTGTGAAGCAGAATAATGGCGGCTGGAAATGACGATTGCATAGATATGTACATATGTATATTTGTATGTTTATATATGTATGTAAGCAGATGAAGCAAGCAAGGCATGTGAGTTGTTTATATTTATATGCATGGTTGTATGTTTGTACTCGTATATGTGCCTTTGCAGCTGCTCAGCTGGTTTTTGGGGCCTTTTTATATTAAATGCGCTTGCGTGGCGCTCATGCAAAATTTCGCTCACCACCAATTGAGAGTGCTTTTTTCGGGCATGTCTGCTCTCAGTTGGACTGAATTGAAGCTGAGCTTAAGAAATTTCGCAAAAATAGTAAAACTATTTATTATTCATTTTTATTAGATTAATTTTTTTTTAGTTTATTATTTTAATTGTTTAATTTAAATTTTTTTTATTTTATTATTTTAATTATTTAGTTTAAATTTTTTTTTAGTTTTTGGTGTGGCACTTTACTTTTGGTTTTTTTCTCATTTTTTAATTATTTTTTTTTTTAATTTCTATTTTTTTTATTTTACGTTTGATTTATGGTTTAGTCTTTTCTTATTTATTTATTTATTTTAAATTTTTTTCGTTCGAATAATATTAATTTCATTCGATATAATATTTTTTTTATTTTTGTTCATATGTTTTTTTTTTGGTGTCAAACTATACTTTTGATTAATTTTTATTTAATTTTTTTTAATTTTTTTTTTTGAATTTTTAATTTTTTGTAAATTTGGTTTTTCCTTTTTTGGTTTTTGGTATTGAAAATTACTTACAATATAAATAATTTTGATTTGGTAAATTTAATTTTTTTTTTAAGTTTTTAATGCTGAACTTTACTTTTTACTTTTTATTATTTATTTATTTATTTATTTATTTATTTATTTATTTATTTACTTTCGATTTTTGTCTATTATTTATTTTTTTATTTTTATTTTTTGTTTGTTCTGTACTTCTTTACTTTTTTTAATTTCCATTTTTGTATTTGTTTTTATTTTTTTATTTATTAATATTTTTGTTTTGTTTTTTTTTTTTTTGCTGCTGAGCTTTTACTTTTGATGAATTCTAATTAAGTTTTCTCAGTGTTTTAAAATATTTTTTATTTGTTTTTAATGCTGAGCTTTGCTTTTTATTTATTTATTTTCTTTTAATATTTTTCTATTATTGACTTTCATTTATTAATATTTTTATGTGTGTTTCTTTAAAGCTTTTAATTTTTTTGTGTTTGTTTTTATTTTATTTTTTTATTTATTATTATTTCCTTTTTTTTTGCTTTTTGGTGCTGAGCTTTTGCTTAATTTATTCTTAAATATTTAAATTTTTTCTCTTTTTGTGTAGTTTTTGGTTACTTTTGATTTATTTATTTTTGCTATTTTTTTATTATTTATTTTTGATTAATTTTCGTTAAATTCTTTGCTTGTCATTGTTGAGCTCTACTTCTATTTATTTACATCCTTCTGATTTTTTCTATTACTAATTTTTTTTATTACTTTTTTTTGGTTGGCTTTGTTATTGAATTTCATTTTTGATTAATTTTCTTTCTTTGTATTTCATTTTTTAATTTAAATTTTTTAGTTGTTCGATTTTTGGTGCTGAGCCTTCCTTTTTATTAACTTTAATTTATTAATTAATTTTTTTTTTAATGTTTTAATATTTCATTTTTATTATTTGTTTTTTATTTTTTGGTATTGGCGTTGAACTTTACTTTTAGTTGATTTTGATTAAGTTATTTTAATGATTTCAGTTTTTATTAGATTTTTAATGCTGAACTTTACTTATTTTTTATTTATTTCCTTTAGATTTTGTGCTATTACTATTTTTATTTATTTATCATATTTTTTTGTGTGTTTTGTACTTTTTTTAATTTTTGTGTTTATTTTAAAATATCTGTTTATTTTTTTTCTTTTGTTTTATTTTTGGCGCTTGTTAATTTCAGTTTAAAAATTTTAATTAGTTTAATTTCCTTTTTTTTAATTTTTGATTTTTACTGCTTTTTTACTTTCGAGTTATTTTATTTATTTTAATTTATTTGATGTTTGCCGAAAAATAAATACGTTTGTGTTGGTCTTAATATATTCTTTATATATATTTTTTTATATTTTTTCAGATATTTATTTTTATTATTATTTTAGATATTTTTTTTAAATTTTTCCAAATTAAAATTTTTTTCGATTTTTATTTATTTTGTTTTTTGGTCCCGAAAGCCTCCAGGTGTAACAACCGAGAGTGTGTGAAAAATCGTGAGCTATGCGCAGCTTGAAAAGCAACGCAATGTGGCTGAGAGAGCTTAAAGGTGAGAGCCTGAAGGAAAGAGCTTGAATGATCAATCTGCCAGCATCTATGTTAACTAACTTGTTGGTGAGAGCATTAACACAGTAAAAAAGCGCTTACTTACCACAGCCCTGAGCGACTTGAGCGACTAACCCAAAGCATTGGCACAGCGTTTCCCAAATTTGCTACATTTGCAAGCTTGCCATAATTGTCTACCATGCAATTTACGTGAATAAATGCAACAAAAATGGCTATGGAAATGAAAAATAAAAACAATAACAAAAACAGCAAAAAACCAACTCACTAACAGTTAGCCGCAACTAGTCAGCTACACAGCTGTCTTAGCTCCAAACAACTCACTCGCCTTCGCTTTCGGCAGCTTTTTCGTACGTTTACTCACAGAAGGAGACAGAGAGCAGCTTAAACCTTAGCTTCTTGGCTTTTTCGTACAAGAACACAAACAAAAATTCAGGGCTTTCAAGTTAGTCATATGTGTGTCTGTAGTTTGGCTTAAGTTTGTTGGTTTCTTGTCTATGCCAACAAATGCTCTATGCTCTCAGCTATTACTACATGGCTGGCTACTTACTAGCGACCAGCTACCAAATCACTTTAGCGTTTTTGATTGACTTGGCGGCGCTGCAAAAGCGTTCGCTGACTTCAGTGTGCGCCGACCAGTTTAAGCAGGCAGACGACGGCCACAAATCGGTTTTACGTTGAGAGGGTGTGTGTGTGTTTTTATACATATGTATATGTATCTATCAATAAGTGTGTCTCTATGTATATAAATGTTGTAAAAAAATATATGTATATCTATGTATGTATTTATATATACATGTACATGTACAAGCGTTAACGCGTCGCCGTGTGTTTAATATTATTTTGTAAAATTTAATAAAAAAAAAAAATAAACGTAAAATTTAAACATTTACTTTAAAATAAATGTGTGTGTATGTGTATAAAATTTTTTAATAAAATTTATTTGCTTTTGTTTAAAGCAAAAATTTTTCACACTCGAAATCTTGCGAACACACACACGTAACAACAAACAACAACAACATTAAAATTGCAAGTGTTGAGCAAAAATAAAAGTGAAAAAAAAAAATCGTTTCAACGAACGCAAAAAAAGTATAATTTGCAAAAATATATTAAAAAATACATACACACGTACATATGTACATATAAAAATCATATCGCAGCAGCACTAAGCACGACGAGCCATCACGACTAAACGGCCAGCAATCGAGCAACACAAACCTAACAAAGGCAACAACAACAACAACAACAAGGCGAAGAAATAAGCAATTGCGACAATAACAAAGCCTTTAGCTGTTTTTGTTGTTTTTTTTTAGTGTTTTTTCTGCCTTCGCTACACTGTCAGCAGCTCACTCACTTTTTGGGCGACTGCCTGTTGCAAAATTAAAAAAAGCAGATTCCGAAAAAGTTGTAAATAAATTGAAAAACAATTTTAAAAAAATTAGAATAAAAACAAAAATTCAAAAAAACTCAAAAAAAAAAAATTAAAGAAATTCGAAAAAATTAAAACAAATTGAAACATTAACAGCATGAAAATGTTGTTTTGAAACGCAAATAAAGAACATTTGCAAAAATGCAGATTTCACTTTGCGAAAACAAAATATTTACATTTATAAAAAAGTAAGAACCAGAAATATTGAAATGAAATTCAGTGGCATTTGTGTATTTTAATTTTGTCTTTCAGAAATTGAAAGTAAAAAAAAATGTTGTGTGACATATGAGCCTTTTGAAATAATATTTGTTGTTAACTAAAGTGTGTTATATGTATATATGTGTGAAGAAGTTTTTTAACTGAAATTTAACAAGGAATATGGACGGATAAAAATCAGACAAATTTGCAAAGTGAGTTGAAAAATATATTTTTTTTAAGCTTTTTTTTTTTCTTATTTCATAAATAAATAAAATGAAAATTCTTTAGAAAGATTTCGAATAAATGTTCATGTTTGTGTTAATTGAAACTTCTGAAAAAGTCAATTGAAAATGTAATTGTGAAATAAAAAATGTTTCAAAAAATTTTAAATTTTTCGAAAATTAATTGAAATTTTAGTACAATTAAAAGACATTTCTATTACAAAAAAATATGCTATTATAGTGATTTTCTTATAAAACTAAAGTCGATATTCATCTGTACTAAATGAATTAAAAAATTATTAAGAAAACAAATTTTTTTCCAGTTAATAGCTTGAATTAAAAGTTAAATTTTTTATTTAGAAATACATTTTTTATTTTTTATTAATTATTAAAACATTTTGATTTAAATTGAAATTGATTAAATAAATATTTTTGAGAAAAATTTGGTTTTTTAGTTATTAATTTGAATTAAGAATTTATTTTTTTAATAAGACAAAGTTTTTTTTTTTAACGAAATTGAAAAAAGTTTATAAAAAAATATAACTTTAAATACCATAAATTCAAAATTAAATTAATTTAATAAAAAATTGTCGAAAAATTTTATTTTGTTGAAAACTAAACTGAACTTGAAATGCAATAAAAAATAACAAATAAATATATACATAATTTTTTTTTTAAATATAAAGGCAATGTGAAAGCAAGCATTATAAAATTTATTTCGGAAAATTTGCTTAACAAAATTAATTGCAAAAATCAATTATTCAAAAAGTAAAAATTAAACATTTTGAGTTTGCAAAAGAAAATTTGTTTAAGCAGAATAAAAATGGTATAATAATAATATATTATATATAAAAAAAATCAACAATTTAATTTATGAGATCAACTGAAGAAGACCTGAGAGCGAAATAAAAAATATATATATAATAAAATAAAAAAATATATATTTTTTATTATATTAATATATATTTTTTTTATTACTATATAAAATTTTAAATTGTAAAAGAGATTAAAAAACCGTATTCATTTTATTTAAGCCCTCTAAAACTTAAATATTAAAAATATATGCATATCAATTTTTTATGTAAGGAAATTATAGAGTTTTTGTGCAAAAATAATGGAGAAATTTTTATTTCAGTTTTTTGGTTTTGTGTTTTTTTTTTGGTTTTTGTTTTTTTTGTTTTTTTGTTTTTTTTTTTTTTTTTTTTTTTTTTTTTTTTTTTTTTTNTTTTTTTTTTTTTTTTGTTTTTTTTTTTTTTTTTTTTTTTTTTTTTTTTTTTTTTTTTTTTTGGATCTCGCATTTAACATCTCTGACATGCAGTATTAGTTTTCCACATTTCTTTGCTTTCATTCTGTATTTTTTATGGTACAAAAAAATGGCTTTTCGAATTTTTCCAATAATCAGCAGGCTGTCTTATAAGTTTCAAGTGGAATTTTGTTCAACAAATCCCCTCTATGAGTGACTATAAAATTAAAAACTAAAAATTTAATTTTTCAATTTGCACTAACTTAAAGGAAGAGCTTGATTGAGGGATTCTTAAGCATATGCCTTGTAGATCGGACGTCGTACAAGTGATTACCATCTATTGCTGTCTATGGCGAATGTATTGGCCTTAAGAAAGGTCTTTGAAACTCAATTGACTATTTTCTTTTTTTTTTTTTGTTAACCACTTGTCCCTAGGTTTCGAGGAATGATGCATAAAGACATTAGCACAAATGGGATATAATGGATTACTTTTTACTAGACCTATTAATTTGTGGCAATTAATTTATTTAAAAAAAAGTGAATTTTTAATTTGTATAGCTGATTTTGCATCTTCTCATATTTGAAATTCGAAATTTCTGTCAAAATATTTTTAGCTTCTCTCAGATCTTCTTTTTGGATTTTATTAAATCAGGAGAAAATCATTTCAATTTTTAATTTAAATTAAAGTTAAATTTCGTTAGCTTATTCTTACTTTGCGATTTCGAAATGTGTTGCTTTTTAATTAATTAATTGGTTTCAAATAAAATAGTTTTAGAATTTTTGAAATTTAGAATTAAAAAATAAATATTTTTAAATAAATCATTTGAAATAAATGAAGTATTTTTAAACCTTTTTTCAAACAATTGAACAGTTTTTCAAATCCCAAATTGGATCCTTATTGACATATTAAAAAAAATATTAATTTTTATAGGGATATTTAAAAAAAAATTTAAAATTAAATTTTCAATTTTCTTTCCTTTCAATTCTTAAATAAAATAAAAATTAAAATTAAAATATAAAATTGATTAAATTTTCTCTTGCATATTTTCAAATTTCATTAGAAATCCTTTTTCAAAATTATAAAAAAGTTTTACATTTTAAAATTATTATAATTTCTCAATTTATTTCCAAATATTTTACATTGAATTTATTTGATTTCTGCTCATTCTTGCATTTCAAAAACTATTTTAGTTTATATTCTTTTCACAAAAACAAAAAATATTATTGCACAACTCAATATTATTATTACCTTAAATTTTAAAACATTTTGTTAAAAATAGTTTAATAATTATAAATAAATGTTTTTCTTTTAAATTAATAAATAAATTAAATTAAATAAATAAAAAAACTAAATAAATAAATAAATAAAAAATAAAAAGTAAATAAATAAAAAAATAAATAAATAAAATAAAAAATAAATAAATAAAACTGAAAATATAAAAGTAAATATACATATATATTTACATGAAATAAATTAATATAAAATCACAAATGAGCACAGTAAACTCATATAGGCAAAAGCACCCACACACACAAATACACACATATATATGCCATATATTTCTTTTGTAAAGATTTTCTGTTTTTAACAACCACAACAACAACAGGTGAAATGAAGTAACATCAATGCCAACGGGGATGCGTTCAGCTTCTCAGTCGCATTAACAAATACAAAAATCCCAAAATATGAGAAATATATGAAAATAATTTTTTTTTTTATAAAATTCAATCAATTTTGCTTGTTTCGCGCTCATTACAATTTGATTGCAAAAAAAAAAAAAGAAAAAATTCTCAATTACTGACTGACGCTGCAACTTCTCACTCAATTCGCCAGAATAAATTTTGCTTACTCCTTTAAGCATTAACTCGCATGTATATTTTTGTATGTTTGTGTGTATGTGTGAGTGTGTTCTTTGTTAATCGTACATTATGGAATTTCTTCTCAATTTCATCTTAATTTCTTTTCTCGATTGTTTTAATTGTATGTGTGTTGTTGTATTGTAATTGCTTGCCAGCCTTTTTTGTTTATTTTATTTTTCTGTAAATTTTTACTTTACGAATTGATCCGTCTTACTTCATTTACGTTACGAGATCTCTGCCTGTGCTTTTTGTTTCTTTTAATTTTTATTTTTATTTTTAATTTTTTTTTGCTTTTATGGATGTCACTCGCAGTGAAGCGTATTTAATAATTGCGTTCCGGTCGCAGCTCGTTTATTCGCACGAGTGTTCTTTACCTGATCTGTGGTTATCCGCGGCGATCGATGCTCCTCGATCCTTTGGGCGAACCAAAAAGTCAATTAACATTTAATTAATTAATCGATACGTTTCACCAACCGTCCGTAATTGTGTGCGGTGCGTAGCGTAGCGGCTGAATTAAAAATACCAATAACAAAGAATGTAAGGAAAAAGTGAAAATTTCGTTGAAGATATAACTTTTTAGTTGTTAAAGGACTAAATATGCAATTTTTGGAAAAAGTGTATGGTTTTTTCGTAAAGAGATTTTATTCACAACTTAAAAATTTTGTGTGCGATTTTATGAAAATTCAGCAAAAATGCAATTAAAGGATAGCTAATGTATGATGTAATATATGAAAAATACATATACATACATATAAATATAAGTTGCAAGCCGTTTTCTTGTGAGATTAGTTTATGCATATTTTTCAAAAACAAAAAAAAGTATTTTATAAACTATTTTAAAACAATCCAAATATTTTTCAGAAATTCTAAGTGTGATAATTATCAAAAAGTGTGAAAATATAGAGTTTAAATAAAATTTCACCGTAGAAGAATCTAATACTGAGAGCTATATTTTTGGAAAAGAGTTTTTAATTTTTTGCAATCTTGAAAAACCACATAAACCCTGTACACCGGCATTGTTCCTTGAAAAATTGGTAATTTATTCGGAAAATTCGGTACATAACATAATAAAATTTAGTGGAAAAAGTTATTTAAAACTAAGCAAATAAAATCAAATAAATTAAAATAAACTATAATTAAATAAAAAAAAATAGTTAAATTGAATTAAATTACAAATAATGCAAAATATAAAAAAAATAGAATAAAAATATACAATACATAATTTATAAAATTAGTTTAAACTTAATAAAATGAACTATATTAAAGTAAAATAATATAAAATAAAATTAAAAAAAATGAGAATAAAAGAAAATTAAATAAAAATAAGTCAATCAATTAATTTAATTAAATAAAACTTAGTAAAATGAACTAAATTAAAGTAAAATGATACAAAAAAAATAAAAACTTAAGTTAATAAATAGAAATAATAATAATTAAATTAATAATAAATAATAATATATACATATAAAAATAACTTAAATTAAATTAAATAACATAAAAAACAAAAGAATTAACTAAAATAATAGAAAATAATAATAAAAATATGTTAAAAAAATAAACAATTTTAATGGGTGCTTCAATGATATTTCAAGGTTCAATAAAATATATTAAATAATAGCGTAAAAATTAAATGAAATAAAATAAAATAAAATAAAATAAAATAAAATAAAATAAAATAAAATAAATTAAGTTACGTATACGCAATGTTGAACATTATTGTGAAAAATTAATTATTTGTTTAAATTGGGTTTTAAATTTTTTTTAGTTTATTTACGCTGAAATTCAATGTTGGCTTTATATCATTAGTCACTTATATACATACATATATACTTTTATGAATGCAAATACATATGTATGCCTGTTTATTTTTTCTTCTGACTAAATACAA